TATTTTATCTTTACCATCTTAATCAGGAAGAAGAAATAGACTAGTTCATACTTTCCAAACCAACTCATTTCTGTTTTTTAGGAGATTTTCACCAAAAGGGAAAATTAGAAAGTTCAAAGAATTAATTCAGAGAGGACAGAAGGCTGGAAAGTGTTTAGAACTGGAAATCCCCCCACTTACTCGTGGTTACCTCTCGTGGCCCTTTATGGTAACCAGTTGAAAGCACACACACATTTTGATTTAAAACTAAATTTTATTAACTTGCATAATTTGACTTAAATTAATAGAAGATAAAACATTATAAATTAAAGTTTTGATTCCCCAAAAGACTAAGACATTCATAAACCTAGTTCAGTCACTGAAAAAGAAAGGAAATTGAAAAAAAAAAAGATGAACAGGTTGTCTCCGGAAACGGTCTTAGGTCGGAAGTTTGCGGTCCCTGTGAACAGGTGCTGCTCAAAGCATCCTGCTGAGCTGCTGCTGCCTGATAAGGACTGTATATCCTGTCTTCTCTGCATCACTTTGCGTCTAGCTCACATTACTTCATTTCCTTCCTGGGACCGTCACCCGGATTCTTCATATAAGGTCAAACTTAAAGAAGAGCTATGTTGGCTTCTTCTAACCTCGTCCAAGAACTAATTTCTTTATGCCTCATTTTCCTCAACTGAACTACGAAATGTCAGTGATAAACTCTGCCATGTGGGTATCCTTAATTTTTTTTATATTTATGAAATAAGACAAAATATCTCTGAAAAAAGTTGAAAGTGATATGTTATTGTCATGTGTGTTTTATAAGGAGATTGAAAGAAAAGAGTTTATTTGTACTAGTTTTGTTTCTTCAGTTTTCATTATGTGTTTCTTTGCTTTGGAGAATTGAATCCCTCAAGGCTGACCACATAGGAAGTTTGCTTCCACATTTAGATGAATAGAGACAATTGAAAAGCCTTCTATCCCCAAAATTTCTCCCATACTGTATCCTGACCTTCTAAACTTCCTTTTGTCTTATTTGCTATAATTTTTCATATCTAGATACCATTCCTTCATTTAACAAATACTAATTAATGATATGAGCACATAAATGGGCACAAGGAGACACTCTTGCAAATGAAATGACATGCTCTTAATAATTATGTCAGGGCAGCAGGTGTTGACAAGGGCTGTGCTGGGCAACCCCTACTCAGTATTCACTTCTTTACAGAAAGTAAAGTTGATTACTTTCTCAAATCTAAGGGAGAGTTCTTATGCTTAAAAAAATGACTGTAGGAGGGGAGGGGGAATTAATGAGCAACTTAGTCATTTTACAATAGTGTTTAGACTGTCACAGAAGACTCAAACAGCGTGAGAACCAGTGGGTACTTAGGAGGCCTACTGATAACATGTGCTAGGTACTTTGGCTGTTAGTTATGTTTGCAATGGCTGCTTATTCCCACCTATGCAAGTGCTGATTTCAACAAAATACTTTGTCCCCAAAGACAGAGAAGTGATTTCAGAACAAGGGTAACATGGTAATCAATGTGATAATGTTTATTTATTTTTATTCTCATACAGAACATTTTTCATTGCTTTTAGAGACAGAGAGAGAGAGAAACAGCCACATGAGAGGCAATCATCAATCAGTTGCCTTCTCGTACATGCCTCAGTTAGGTATTGAACCTGCAACCTAGGTATGTGCCTTTACTGGGAATAGACCTGTGACCCTTTGGTGTATAGGATGATGCACCAAAGAACTGAACCAGGGCTCAATGTGGTAATGTTTAAAGATATTTATTTCCTTGCAATTAGATCTCTATCATTTTTCTGTGCCCAATGGACAATATAATATATGTAGCATATGCACATGTTGGTTTAAAAATATAAACATACATAAATATATGTATAAAATTTATCCACTTGATTAGGGCTAAAGAAGCAAGAAAGTCTGAGCACATAAGCAAGTGTCTTAGCATCATGAAAGCTGTTAGAGGTGACTGTGGGACATCGCAGCTTCCTCTGTTTCACTGTAACCTGCACATACAAGAGCATTATATCAGCAATGATGCTGTAACTTCTCAGTTTTATTTCTTGGTGCTTTACATCAAATAGGAACTTTCCTTTTTCATGACTTGTAGCAAACTGTTATTCATTTATATATCATTAAATGGCTAATATATACCAAACATTGTAGTGGAAAACTAATTTTCTAATTTATGTTTTTTCACAAAAAATAGAAGTTGGATGCTAATATTTTCATTTTACAGATAAAGCCAAAGGTTATTAAATGCTTAAGTTGATATTCACACACACTTTTTTTGTGTATCTACCCAACAGACTTGTTGAATTCTTATGTTCTAGGCCCTATTACAGGTTGAATAAGACAGACATGTTCATGCTCTTAAAGACCATACATTCTAGTTAGGGAAATAAATAATAATAATAATTTTTAACCTATATGTATTACTTTCCATAAGTCACAATTTATTACCTCATTCTCTTAGTTTATAGAATATATGGTCATCCAAAATGTTCTATAAAGTAAAGTAAGAGAATGAAGTAATAAATTGTAACTAATGGGAAATAATTTATACAGACAATCAGGTGGTCAGGAAGGTCTAGTGAGGAGGTATGTGTGAGGTAAATATTAATGAGAAGAGTTTGCCATGAAAAACCTGAGAGCAGAGAGAAGAAAAGCAAGAATACACCCTATAAAGTAAAAATAAATTTAGCTCTTTCAAAGAATAGAATGAATGTTAACATAGCTGGCTTATAGGGACTAGAGGAAAAATTGTAGGAAATGATTTATCTATCTGTAAAGCATACACTATTTTCATTATGTTAACCTAACTGTTCTGGAATATTTAAATTTCAAGGACAAAGCAGTTGGTGTCCAGCTAAGAAAATAATATTTTCACACTTATGTGGGAATCATCAGAGGGGAAAAGGTATAACTGGACCATGATTTTTGTTAGCCTAATCAACTGTTGAAAAATCCTGCTTTTCATGTGGAAGACACATGACAAGGATTATCAGCATGTGTAAGGATATTTTCTTTCTCTTCATACCTCAGACTGGGAAGAGATCAAATAATATTGCACATTTCTAACAATAATATTTTTTATACGTTCATCACAACATAGCATGTACAGACAGTGTTGATGTGGACATTAATCTAGGTCTCAAAACTCTAGAAGGATAAATACACATTTAAGAAGCCTAAGTTGTTTTGCCCTGCCCAGGTAGCTCAGCAGATTAGAACATTGTCCTGATATGCCAAGGTTGCGGGTTTGATCCCCAGTAAGAACACATAATATAATATCAGCTATTCACAAATGATATAGAGAAAAATAAGGTTTTATGGAAGTTTAAAGTGTGACATTTTATTTCACATATGAAAGGTCAGTGAAGACCTCTCTGGGCTGATGAAAGTTGAACAATGAGTGAATTGAATTAAAGGGAGAGCAAGACATGCAAGTAGACAGAGGAAGAACCATCCAGAGACAAGGCAAAGACTGTATAGTAGAAGTATGCTTGACATTTTTGTGGAAGAGTAAAAAGATTACTGTCAGAGAGAACAGTGGCTAATAGGGAAAATAGGGGGACAGGTAGCTAGGGTTCAGAGCATGGACCTTCTCAACAATAAAAAGGGGGTTGATTTTTATGGTAAGTTTTATAAGGAGCCATTGATGGTGGAAGCAAGGAAAGAATTGAACATCTCACCAAAATGATATCATTTCATTACAAAACAATCTCTTTATCTGCTATCTGGAAAGCATACTAGAAAACTGACTAAAAAATAGAATGGAAGCAAAGAGAAGCTTTAGGACCAACATGTACCTCTCCATCTCTTAGGTAAACAAATAAAATATGATGGCCTAACTAACCTATGGTAGATGATAATTTCCAACCCATCTAAGCATAACAGTCCCACAAAGGTCTTATTGTAAAAACAGAATATCTCTACTCTAAAGAAGTGATATTAATGATATAATTTTGTCACCATTGTTAACCAGAGTGGTATTTTGATCCCCTCCTAAAATCACCATACGTGGACATCCTGCATTTATTTTGTGTTGATCTTAATAAGTTATCTGTGTAATATTCATACTATGGTAATATATTTTTATAGTAATCGCACTCCAAATGTCTTACACCTCAGAGAGAGATGAAAAAATCATCTAGCAGACAGGGGAAAATAGGAGGATAAGATACTAATAAGGGAAACAAGAGTGGTTTAAATGACAGTAAAATTTAACAAAAAAAATTATCAGAAGGTAAATGAAACAGAGTTCAAGATAAACAATTTTAGAACATAGAAAGGAAGTTCCAGACCACAGGTTTCTATTTCCTGCATTAAAGCTACCCCTTACTAAATGATACCTTTAGAAACACTAGTTCTCAGAATGAAATGAATGACAGATTTCTGAAAGCCAATTTATAGCTTCCTAGGAAAACTTTTCCACAAGGAAGAAAGATCCATGAGGGTAGAGATCTTAAAATTCTTATTCAACAATAAATTATCTAGCTTTAAATAGTATCAAGTTCATAGTGAATATTCAATAAATATTAGTTAAATAAATGAATGAATGGGATTCCAGAGACATCTTACTCTCCAAATTATTTCCATCTCAAAGATAGGAATCTCTCACTTTGAGTTCTTTTCTTAAATACCCTGTCTCCTAAACTATTTTTATTTTCTACAAATTTTAGAGAGGATGTCACAAATTCTGGGAAAACCCCAAGTATCTCTTCATGCTACACCTACAGTTGTGAGAAAGCACATTTCAGACAGCAGGGAAAACCCATAGATCACAACAACACATTATACACTGTCTGAACCACTGGAGCATAAATTAAAGAGAACTGGGCTAGTTGAGCCATTTGAAGGCAAGAGGAAGGGGGTGGAGCCAACATAAGCCACTATAAATAAGAAGATAGCTCAGAGACTCAGACTGTAGAGTGCCAGTAAAATCTCGCTTTAGATTGGCTTGACCTGAGATTGGCTTGACCTGAGAATCAGACTAAAGATGAATTCGGAAGATGCTTCCCTAACAACGGACAACATCTTGGACAGAGAACAACAAAGTAAGTCAGCTCTTATTTTTATGTACTGGTAATAACTATATATGTAGATGATATATACAGGGTGGGGCAAAAGTAGGTTTATAATTGTGAGTACATGAAAAACAGAGTTTATTCGTTTATTATTATTTATCAATTATTGTATTATTTTTCATACAAACAACTGTAAACCTACTTTTTCCCCACCCTGTAACAGTACTTAAGGAAGAAAATGAGTCTTTGTTTTTCGAAGAACTTAATTACATCCTATTTCGGTCAGGATAAAGGAGAAAATGGGACGTAAATATGTCTTTATCTACAAGAAGATAGGAGTCCTGAGACGAGAGGAAATACAAAGGTGAATTGCAGAAGATCTTCAAGGATCTGTTTCTTTGTTTCAGTTTATATTATCTCAATTTTTAGATACAATTACAGGAACCTTGGCACTAGCCAGGTGCACTCTCCATCATTTTTCCATATCCATCTGTACATATTCCAGGAAATATTGACTTTCTTTATAAAAATTGTCTTCCACATAAACAATTATATTCTTGATTGCCTTCACTTTGCATCTTTCTGTGTTTCCTGTGCGCCTCATTTTGTGTTCCTATAACAGCATCTTCCTGTTGTTGAAAAGGAATGTTCTTAATCTCTGAAAGAGTAACCACATAAACATCTGAACTTTAAGGTGTCCAACAGTAATTTATTCAGAGAATGTCATGAAAGGATTCTTGAAAATGCCATCTTCTGCTTCTATATTCTTCCTGGGACTCATTTTATACATTTCTTCCTTCAATTTTACCATCTAATTATTAACTTCAAATTCTGCACTAATCAGACATTACCCTTTCCTTCTTTTGTTTTTCATCAAAATATGATCATCATAACTACATACTATTTCTCCTCTTCTATTCGTCTATTCTGTCCACAGATCCATTCTACTTATTATTACCAGAATTTTCCCTTGTTTTCGTAAAACTTGTTTCTGTGAGACTTTCTTGATTTTTTTCATTTATCTCTCTTCTTTAATCATTGAGATACTGGGAAACCTAACATGTAGCAAGTAGAGTTTATTTGTAAGCGGTAATAAAGGGATGCGTTATGAACAGCAGTGCTCAAACAATCTAGAGGAATATCTGAGTGTGTGTTTTCTGAATGTATGTCTGCTGAACTGTTTCGTGTTAGAAAAGCTTTGATTATCTCCCATAAACCCATATTTCACTTAAGAACACAAAATGAAGTGTGAATAACAAGTGCAAGCTATTCAAATTTTTTGGTAACTACATAACCATAAATTTATGGTCCAGTTGAGGTACCAAAAAGAAAAACAATTGTAAAAAGAAAACAAAACCTTACTCAATAAACAGAGGTCATAGTTCCAAAAGGTCCTCACTCAGAAACTCTTAACTTTTCCTGAGATCATCCTCATTTTCTGTTGAATGTTTAATTTATGCTGTCCTTAAAGTTGCTTTATTAGTATGAAAAGCCAAACCTTCAAGCATCATCTTTATGTGACCCAATATGTCATGGTAGGCCAACAGACTGATAGCTGGGTGAGTTAGCACTGGCTCACGAAGAAGGGCTGTTGCTTCACTGAGTCTAAGCAGCATGATGAGAAGTGAAACTAGACAGAGAGCTCTGAACTTGCTACCTTGACTACCATGCACTTCTGGTAACAACTGGATGCTGGTAAAAAGAGAATTACTTTAAGAAGCTGAAAGAAACAGAATTAAGAAGGAGTGAAGTAAAGACATCTCTTGAAAAATCTGAATACAGATCTATGCTGGAAAAAACAACCTAGAAGCAGAAGCTGATGTTGACATTCATGTAGTATATTAATATTAAAGAAAGAAACATCTCTGCCCAGTTTAATTTTAGATAAGTGTTTTAAGGCAAAAATACATGCATTTCAAGATATGTGCCTTTAATTATAAAATCTTCTATATTTAAAAACAGGGTATTTGCACACTTTGAGTCTTTTTATCATACATTTTAATATTATTCAAGTAGCTATTTTATGCTTTATTTTCTTAGGATGTAGTAGGGAACTATATATTACCAATGAAGTGAAACCTTTAAAAAAAACTGATAGTTCTTTTTAGCAAAAATCAAATTCAAACTTTGAATCACAAAATTCACGTCTCTCTTTTCTCAATTATTTATTTATATTTTAGAACAGCTATTCCTTGATGTTTGTGTGTCATATATTTGCGTAGCTAAGGATCATCATTCACATTGTTTACATTCTAAATCTTTCAATAAATATTTTTATTGGTGAAACCAAAATTTTACTTTGTTCCAGCATTATACAAAGGGTAAATTAAAAAATTAACTTCTGGCCAATATTTTGTCTTTAATACTGTTATGTTTCCTCTATTATTTTTTTTCTTGGAAGATTCAAATATCTTACTGTTTATTAATAATCACTATACTTGGGGTGTTATTTACATACACTGGATGCACAGATTATAAGTGTACAGCTTAATGAGTTATAACTACAACTCCAATCAATATTTGAAATTTTCATCAACCTAGAAAATTGCCCTGTTTTTCTTTTCACTCAAATTACCTTTCTTACACAGATAAAAGCAATCACTTTTCTGAATTCTGTCACTATAGTTTAATTCAGCTATTCTTTAATGTTATACTAATTGAAACATACAGTATATAACTATAGATGGATTTTTCACTCCAATTATTTTTAGATTCATCCATTTTGTTACATGTATCAGTTTTTCTTTTTAAATTGCTGAATAGAATTTCCTGGTATGGATAATAGCACACTTTATCCATTTTCCTGTTGATGTGTATTTGGGTTATTTTAATTTGGCTCTTAAGAATAAAATTGCTATAAATGTTCTTGTGCAAAGCATTTTAAAAATGTATTTTCATTTCTTTTGAGAAAATACATAGGAGTAGAATTGCTGGATCATAGGGTAGGTGTATGCTTAATTGTGTAAGAAAGTTTTCTGAAGTATTTTTTCATTTCACTCTCTTATCAGTAACTTATGAAAAGTTTAATTGCTTCACATCTACACAAACCTCACCCAAAACTACTCTTAACCTTTTTTATTTTCAGTTATGCTAGTCGTAGGTATTTATATATCAGTTCAAGAGTTTTATTACACTATTCCCTATTTATCCTCATTTACATCATCTTTCTTAAACAGTAAATATAGAAAGGTTAAGAGGTGATGCTTAGGATTTTTTTGATATACCATCTAGAATAATCAGGTATTTAATAAATGTGTTTATTGTGACAAAAACAATAAAACTATGCTAGACAGAATTTTCATAGCTACTAAATACATATATTAGGGAGATATTTTATGATCTCATCATTATGCCTAGATTGTTTCATTTCTATCCAAAAAGAAACTATCCGAAGTCACTCAAAATTTGGGGGAAATTAACATAAATTTTATATACATTTAAGATAGGGAGACACATAACTACTTGTCTCAAGAAATGTCTCAATAAATGTCTCAAGAAAATATCTAATGCTGCTATCTTACTTCTGTGGTCTGCCTGAATTTACCAACAACTCTCTCTCTTCAGGAAGTACTACCAGCCCTGTCTTTGCAACAAATCATGAAGGGTCCCTGCAAGTTCCTATTCCATGTGCTGTGCTGAATGTGGTCTTCATCACCATTTTGGTCATAACTCTTATTGCTTTATCAGGTGGGCATGTACTTTATGAATTCATAGAGTTTATTTTCTGTAAGCATTTGTTGTAATCCCAGCTGAAATCAACAGGGATTACTTAGTCCCATTAATCAGAAATTTTGAGTAATTTAGGATTATCCCATATATCATATATGGTGGATTTCCTAAAAAGAACTAAATATAATTCAATATTCCCTTGATAATATCATTTTAGGTTTTCTATAAGTATGAAAATTGTCTATGTTTTATATATTATTGTGGAAGAAAATTACTTTAATGTAGGTTTAAATGTGGAATGAAAGGGGCTGATTCAGATTCTAAACAAATCAGCATTTACTTAGAAAAAAAATGTGGGCTGCACATTCATTGTTGATAGAAAAAATAAGCCATAGTTTCATCACGGCTTGGTTAGTCCTTTGTCTTTCACTTCAAAGACCACAGAATAGTGGTTATAGATAACTAAGAACATATTAGATGCTTTCAGAATCAATTGTCATACAGTATTCAAAACATGCTATTATACCAAGATATATTTGTGTCTTTTACAAGCATCATTTTTTATAATTTTATAAAACATCTCGATCTATAGACTGTTTTGTATTCTGAATTACTCCCCTGTACATTGTTCTCTCTTTCATCTCCCAATATAGTGTTTTGTGTACTGTAAGTTTAAATTCCTCCACCCCTGCATTCAGATCCAAAATCTTACTTGAAATTTACAATGCACTTTACCCTTTCTAATCCAAGGCTATTTTCAAGATTTTTCTATTTTTCTACCACTTTTGGACATTACGGCTGAAGAGCCACCCTCTTTTTTTCTTATACCAGATACAATGATAATTAGGCACAATGGGAGATATGATAAGGTGAGAACCTGCTTTCTTATGCTTTTCAGAATTTGCTTTTCTTGCCTTTCATCCTTTATTTTATCACTTCGTACAGCACAGAATTCCCTGAACTAGGTTTGCATGCTGTGGGTATTTAGTTCCTTTTGTAACTAAAGTAATTTTCCTGTTCACAGTGGGCCACTACAATTGTCCAGCCCAATATGTGTCTCCAGAACCATCAAACAGCCATATTTCTTCATGCTCAGATGATTGGATTGGATATCAGAGGAAATGCTACTTTATTTCCAATATAGCAAGTAATTGGACTTTGGCCCAAAACTCTTGCTTGAAACATGGTGCTACTCTTGCTTTCATTGATTCTGAAAAGGACATGGTAAGATAGTATTTAAAAACAATTTCATAAAATATTGCTGTTTTCTTATATATAGCTCATCTATGATTTCATTCTGTTTTCTGATTTATGAAGAAGACATTGTATCTGTCTTGCATGTAGGAAAACTTAGTCTGAGGTCAAAATCAGGGTTTTATTTAATCTTATAAATTTGATTTGAATGCTTAGCTTCAAAGGCCAGAAATCCAAATAAGTAGACTCTTTATAGAGCTAATGAATGATCCGTTTAGCTATTGTGCCTCAGATGCAGCTTTTGAGAAAAAGCTTTTGAGAATTTATCAGATACTTACCTACCCAGAGGGGTTGTTTAATATGTACCCACTTTGTGCTTTCTTCAAGATCTTTTTAAAACGATATGTGGGTCGAGCTGAACACTGGATTGGGCTGAAAAATGAAGTCAATCAGACTTGGAAATGGTCAAATAACAAAGAATTTAACAACTGGTAAGTTTCAAGGTGTTTCTTTATGCTTTTCAGGCTGGTAGCTCAGGAAAACCATTTTCCTTTTTTCCACTGTTCTATTTGAAGGTTGTGCTGTTTATAAACAGAGTTTTAATAATCTCTTTTGTATGCTTGTACTGTTTGGAATTGTTAAAAGAAAGGCTTTGAGGTTATCATTTTGTTCTTCTCATCTACTTGGAAATCATACAATAAATGCTTTTAATAATTTGATCTCAGAAAAAAAGTAGTGTGAATTAAAGGATCAGTTAGAAATATTCCAGAAATAATCATGATGATGCAAACAAAATCTAACATTTTCAACCTCATGTTAATACTTTAGTGATAAACTAGTCTTTGGAAAATTATTCCCTCTTACTCCTTCCTAGTTCCCATCTCCAAAGGGGTAAAGAACAATATTTTCATACCTAATTAGAAGCTTCTGTGGATCTGAAAGAAAACTTGCCCCTCAATTAAAGAGGCTGATTTTATTTTCATTACCTGTAATTAAACTACATTTTAAAGTTTGAAGGACACTTTATAAGTTTTGTGTTAATCTTTGTTATCTGAAAACTCAGAGTTGAATGAATTTCTAGCTATCTATATAGTTTTATTATACCCATATTTTGCAGTGTATAATGTGCACTCACATTTTTGGCCCAGACTTTCAGGGAAAAAACATCTTTTCTTTTAGTTTTTTAATTCAATTTATTTATTCATTTATATTTAAATATTTTTTTGTATTATAAAGGAATGTTAGCATATATTTTTCAACATATTATGTACAAGAAATTTTATGTAATAAATAATTACAAAACATAAGAACAGATATAAGGTATTTCAGGTAAGACCCATGTATAACGCACATCCTTATTTTTCCCTCAAAAACTTCAGCAAAAAAGTGTGCATTATACATGGCAAAATATGGTAATTACTGACACAGAGAATAAATTGCAATCTCTAGAAAAAGAACTCTTAGTAAGTGTCTAATGATATCATACCCACAGATGAACTTCAGGGGCCATAAACTATTTACAATTGTGTGCACTAATGTATTATTTTGTCGAATGTGTATACTTCCGGGGAATTGTTTCTTGAAGGGTTTGTGAACTCCTCTGGTGGTACACCAACCAAATAAAGGGAGATCTTCACTCTCCTTAGCTTTGTACCTTCTTTCCACATACTCTTCCTTTCAATAACTGTCTACCATCTCTCCAGATTAGTCTATGTTCATTTGACTGACAGACTTGCCTCATGCATTCCTACTCAGCAAAAAAAAAGTTTTCGTTCTCATGTAACTGAACGGAAACGACGACCTTAAAGTAACTCTTAGTTTCTTTATTGTTTGACAGGTTCAATCTAACAGGATCAGGGAACTGTGCCTTCCTGAATAGCATAGAGGTCAGCAGCACAGATTGTGGAAAGAATTTACACTGGATTTGTAGCAAACCCTTCAAATAATGAGAAATCATACTTGCTTATGGATTGTTATTTCACGGAACTTAGGAACTTTGTGTCAATGGATGCTGCTCTGTGGTCAGACATTGTCCATAAAGACTTTGTGAAAAACTTTGTATTATTTTGGAATCCTTCTTCCAAACAAGACTGTGTAGAAAAGGAAGAGAAATTCCAGGAATATCTGCATTATCTGCATTATGGAATAAATACCCTTGCTGTGAGCTGAAAACATCACAGCTTGACTGATATTTATGTCCAGAGAATGATTTTAAACCTTTTGATTGCACTTTATACTTTATCAAATTCAGAAATAATAAAATAGCTAGGTTTAGAGCCATTATTTATTGTTGAATGACTACCAATGATGTGTGTCGGTCATGCATTTGCACACTGTGAGGGCGTTAGATGGCAGTATTAAAAACTGAATGTAAACAAAAGAAATTTCAACTGGTAGCACAGATATTTAGTCTAAATGCATTTGTTAAACTCAGAGAACATTTAGAAGTGGACGAATGCTTGTGAAAATAAGCTTTATAATATTTCTCTCTTTTTGGAGATGTTTGGCATGTTACTTTGTCACTTCCCATCCCCCGCCAAAGAATGGGATGACCATGTACCTATGTCATTGTTCTTTAGTTTATTTCTTCAACATCTTTTTCAATGGTGTATAATTCTCTGCCTTTAAAACTTTCTATACCATGTTTTACAAAGATAGAAACAAAACCAAAGAGTATGAGAGTATTTGTAATCAGATAAGTGTTGGAAATGTGAAACATATGATGTTGCAAATTCTTGTTAGAAAAAAATTATGTATTGTTCAAACATACAATATCTTATAAATTTATGCCTGTCTTAATCAATTCTGTTATGTGCAGTACTTCACGTGAAGTATTTTTAGTGCAATACAGTGTTTGTTTTGTTTTTCCTTGTAGTCAGTGCAGTCATAAGCTGCTTTTGTGTATTTTAAAATAAAAATAGAATCAAAGAAATTATTTTTAAGAAGTTTTTGTTCCTTTAAAATACACTGGAAATTGTCATACTAAAGTAAGAAAAAATAGTATAACTTAAAAAATAAACTGTTCTATTGTAAAATACTAGCTTTATAGCATGGTTTCTACTTTTCGTATTGTTTTCATATGTGTGTTTTTTAAGAGCCATATTCTTTTTTTTATAATAGCAGAAGTAAATTATTCTAATTAACTTAAAAAGAATATATGCCATTTAAAATGTTTTGTCTCTTTTATTTTTACTGCTTTATTGTTTATCACTCTCATACTAAAGGAGCACAGAGACATTAGGAGACACCTACATTGATTTTGTGAAGGCCTACTTATAAGCTCATTCTCTTTACAATAAGGCAATAATAGGTCCTCATAAGCAATATACTGAAAGCATCTCACTCAAAGTGCTATAGATATTTCAGTTATTTACATAAAATAATTCACTAAACAGAAATGAGGCACTAGATAATATATTCATGGTATATTTCAGCCAGAAAAACATCTATTACTTTCAAAAATTTTTTACGAATATATTTTGCAATATACTTCTCAGAGTTGGAATGTGTGCTAAATGTGGAATCTTTAAACTGTTGTCATTAGCATGGCATATTGAAAAGAAAGGTGGATTATAGACACTGCTTAGTGATAAATAATATAGAAGTTTCTTAATTTCAGTGTCCTTCAGTTCTCACAGAGGTGAAATAAAACAAATGGTCTCCAAGCTCTAATACACTATCATTAATAATATCAATATACTCTCCCTGAGTTGTATTGGGAAAAAACTGCTTATGATTTGTGTGTTATTAAAATATGTAAGTGAGAAGGTTTGTTGTTAACGACCAGAGCACAAGAGAAATATTGCCTGAGTTTCATCTCTACCACTCACTAGTTGACTAGATGTTTAAGTTAGAATTAATTAGAAATTTAGTTAAAAGTAGCTGGAAACTGAATTAGTTAATACATGAAACAGGACTTAGAGCAGTCCCTTGCTGAAGATAATTATCGTTATCTGTGTTTTATTTTGCTTTTTCAACATAATTTAAATTTTTTCCTCTGGAAAGGGAAGTAATTCCTCACCTGTTTATTACACATAATTTTAGGAACTGAATAAAGTTAAAAGTATTTTTAAAACAATAAGATGCCATTAAAATGTTATACTCTATAGTAAGCCTTCAATTGACTCAAAATTTTTATAATATGAATATAGAAATGATTTTTCTAAGCTTGTTCTCAGTTTTCATAAATTTAACTAAATTTTTACACATAGAAATGTATCATAACTAAAATTAAATTGATAAAAATATTTTGGACAAAATGTTAGTAATGACCATAGTGACTGCAGGTGATAATATAAATTGGTTTAGTTTAACCTTTGGAAAACAGTTTGAAAATACCTATCAAAAACCTTAAAAAGGTTTATCTTTTTTTATGTGACTGTTTTTTAAGGGAGTATTTTTTAAAGGAATAATTTTAAATATGCAAGACATAATCATACAAATGGTTACGAAAAGGCTCTTTCTAGTTACAGTAAGTCAGAAACTACTTAATGTTCAAAGCTATATGATTCTACTGCATGATGAAATAAGATGCCAACATTAAAAATAATATTGCAGAAAAACGTTTATTTAAGTGGGAGAGTACCCAAACTATTATTGCTAAGTCAGTTAAAGTAACATATACATTAAGATTTCATGCCATTAAGAAGCAATATGTTGAGCTAAAAGATTCAGGCACAAAATAGTATCTGCTGTATGATTCCATTTATATGAAATTCAAGAACAGGCAACACCAAATGATAGCAATAGAAATCAGTGGTTATCTCTGTAAGGGGGTTACAAGAAAGAAGTATCAGGAGCATGAAAAACCTTCTGGTGCATATCTTATCAGAAGCGGTGTTCATAAGCATAAACAGCTCTCAAAATTTATGGAACAGAATAGTTTAACTCTACATTTTATTTGATGTAAATATACCAAAATAAAAAGTAGCAATATATCAAAAATTATTAAGTATGTGTTTTGTGTTTCTGTATATTAAAAGGGAGAAAACTGCAAAGGTAAACAAAATGGTTTTCCCTGAGTAGTAGGGGTATAGGTAATATGTATTTACTTCTCTATTTTTATAGTTTCAAACTATTTGATAATAAATAGTTGTTTTTACTCTTCATAAGAAAATCACTTATTTTAAATAAACCCAAATACAGGATCGTTAAAGGAAATAATTTCATGATTTAGAGTACAACTTTACTTTCTAGTAACTAATTACGAATACTTTCGAGTACATAATTACAAATAATTGCTTTCTAGTAACTATCTACAAGTTTGCCTCAAAAATCTCCCCTACGCTAAATTGTCTTTGCTTCTCCCCCGCTGTGGGTACCAACAAGTTACAGTGTCATCTAGTGGCTGGATAAATCATTGCACTTTTTGTTTTGCCCTTTCTCGGAACAATTGATTTTTTTCCTTGTAAATAGTGTTATAGATAATGTAATCAGTTTCAGTATTTAATTATAGATATAATGATTCTCTTTCTACCCCATGGTAGAGATAAAATAAAAATAACCTGCATTCCAAATAGTAATAAATATACTTTTACTTTGGTTTGTTTTGTTTTCCAGGTTTATTGAGGTTCAATTCTTACCAAAAACTGCATATAATTAATGTATACAATTTGGTGAGTTCAGACATATGTGTTACCATCACCACAATCTAGGCAATACACATACCCATAACCTCCAAAAGAGTACTTTTGTTCCTGTGTGTGCTTGCATATGTGTTGTGGTGAGAACACAACATGAAAACTAAACTTTAATTAATTCAGTAAAGTTTCAGTATACAAAATCAATATACAAAAATCAGGTGCATTTCAATACACCAACAATGAACTATCTGAAAAAGAAATTAAGAAAACTATCTCATTTACAATAGGACAAAGAAGAATAATACTACTAGAAATAAATTTAATCAAAGAGATTAATGACTAGTACATTGAAAACTTTAAAACACTGATGAGAGAAATTGCAACAGACATAAATAAATGGAAAAGTATTTTGTGTTCATGGATTGAAAAACTTAATATTGTTAAAATATTCATATTACCCAAAGTGATCTACAAATTCAGTGCAATTCTTATCAAAATTCCTAAGATACTTTTTGTAGAGATTTTTAAAAAATACTAAAATTCATGTGGAATAACAAAGACCTCAAATAGATAAAGTAATCTTAAGAAGAACAAAGATGGAAGGTTCACACTTCCTTATTTAAAAATATATTACAAAGGTACAAAAATCAAAACAATATCGTACCAAACTAAAAATAAACATGTAGACTAATGGAGCCGAATAAAAAGCCAAGTAATAAACCTACACATATATGGTCAACTGATTTTTGACAAGGGTGTCAAGAATATGCAATGGAGAATGGATAGTGTCTTAAACATCGGGAAAACTGGATATCAACATCCAAAATAGTGAAATTGGATCCTTATCAATTTCTGATTTTTCTAAAAAAATACCTAGTTGTGCTAACATCATTTGGCAAATTACCCTTTCTCCACTGCTCTATAGTCACTATAGTCATAAACTTCATGGGTTTTTTTTTGTTTGTTTGTTTACATAGTCATTTTGTAGGCTCTCCATTCTGCTTAATTGATATATTTGTCTATTATTCTGCCAAACTACATTGTACTAATTAGGACCCCTTTATAATAGGTTTTATTTTTAGTAGAGAAAATTTCTCCACTTTGCTTTCTTCATGTGTATCTTTATTATTCTTGACTGTTTGTATTTCCATTTACACTTTAGAATTGTCTTCATAATTTTCACAGGAAACTTGCTGGAATTTAGATTCAATAAATTAATAAACCAAGCTGACAAAACTGACACCTTTATTAAATCTTTTAATCCCTGCTTATGATGTAATCTCATTTTATTTCAGTTTTATTTTTTGCTCTCTTTAATTCCTTTTATACTTTTATAGATTTTTGATATAAAACTCTTGTATATC